TGAGGGTCTAGTGTGATTTATTTATTTATTTATTTTTTGGAGAGGTTTTTGCTATAGGGTGCGTGCGCTCACCAGAAAGACAGAGAGAGACAGAGAGATAGAAAGCAAGAAATCACCTCCCAGGGGGGATGGCCATGCCACAATCCCTTCTCCTCCATTCTCCTCTTGGGATCTTGGGCACGCATGCACACGCGCCCGGAGTGAGTTTAAGCCGCCGGGTCCGGGACTTGAACCACGGTCGACTACGTGGGAGTCCAGCGACATAGCCATTATGCTAACTGCTGGTCCAGGGTCTAGTGTGAAAAAGACTAGCTGTGGACACCGGGGTGGGTAGCCCATCGCTAATAAACTTGGACACGTCTCAGGTTCACATTTGTAGAATGGATGGTAGAACCCATCTTACTGACTCCCAAGAAGGGGTTGCATTGAGCATCACTGTCAGCGCATACTTACGGGCCTGTTAGAAGTTGGAAGTCATAAGGCCCAGGGACATGGAGGCCATACTCACTCACCAATGAAGGTCCCTTCGTGAATGTGGACCTCCTGGTGCTCCTGCCCTTCAGGACCTGGGCTTGTCTGCAGGCTGACCTCAGAGCTGTCATAGCTGTAAGAACTGAACACCATGGTGCAGTTCTGCCAGTCAAAGGGGAAGTACGTGACCTGGATAGAGCGGGGAGTCACTAGGACTGCCAGAGAACTGGACAGAGCTGGGGAGTTTGGAAGGGCACTGGGGATCTGGACACCCGGGAAATATGGGGTGATCAGGGGAGATCACAGGGGAGTGGGGGGTCACAGAGGAATTGAAGGGTTGCAAAAAGTGATATTTGGAAAAGGCTCGCTGAGGAAGACCGGAAGTCAAAGAATGTGTAAGAAAAAATGATGGGCAACGCAAGATCAGGAGGGTAAAGGGAAGATGCGCGACATGGGGAATAAGGCTGGAGGGAGGGGAGTCGCTGGGAAGTCAGGATATCTGAGGAGAGGGGTTTTCAAAAGCTCCTTGAGCTTCCCAGGGCGGAGCCTGGAAACCTGAATGCTGCAGCTGCTCCGATAGATGCCCGGGGGCTGCCAGCGCACGGAACCGTCAGAGGACACCACGACGTTAATGTCCAGAGCGACGTCGAAATTTCCGTCATTGCTACGAGAAAGGGATCCTCTCTTCTAGGATCAGGCCCCGCCTTCCGGAGGCCCGCCCCATCTCCCGGGCTTTGGGATGATCCTACTTGTTCAGCAGAACCACGTCAGGCAGCCACACGAATTCAGTCGTGATGCGGAGCGAGTCGATGCCATCGTGCTCGGCGGGGTCCCAGCTCAGCCTGTAGTCAGTCCACTCCTAGAGATGCAGAGGCTCAGGGACTGTCCGGGGTTGAGGGCCAGGAGGAAACTTGGGACGTGGAAAGGAAGCCCAGGAAGGGGTGCAAGGGGGGGAGCAGGGGGGCATGGGCTGTGGGCAAGGGAGCGGGATTTAAGCCCCCGCTCCCCATTCACTCTCTGGGATTCACAGCAGCACTAGGTCCCAATGTTTAATCTATAAAAACGAGGCGGTTGCACCAGCCTCTAAAACAGTGGTTTTCAAACTGGAGTCTCCAAACTTTTAGTGAATGAGGAATCAATTTAGTGGCCCCAAACCAGTGTTTAAAAAACGAGAATGAAAAGTGCAGGGAATGCAGTTCTCATAGTAAAGATAGGAACTGTTTCCTGAAACTTCTGTTTCCGTTATAAATATCTTTTCTGAGATCCTGATGCAAAAAATAGTCTTACTGGGCCTGACATTCGAGGAAATAGTAAAGGCGGTAGAACGCTCTTTCCCACCCCAAGTGGTCTCCGTACCAGGTCTAAGTACACCTTTGTGCTCAACTCTTCATCTTTCTCGTTCTAGAAGGGAAAAATGTAAGGGTAGAGGTGAAGTGGGTGGACACAAATGAGAGGGCTCGGTAGATCATCCGCTCCCTGGAAACTCCGCCCGCTTCCTCTGAGCTACGTTTGGCTCCCAGCCCCACATCATAGAAGCTACGTCAGTTTAAGCCCCGCCTCTATTCAAAAATCACCCTTTCCTGCTGTCCACAAGTCTAGCCGTGAGCCCACCGCCGCCGAGTCCTCCGCCAGGTTCA